TTATTCATTTAACCTATGTGACCTATAAGTCACATAATTTTGTTAATTTTGTTATTGTAATATATATTATAATAATTATTATTAATAAATGATATTTATTATTATTGTTGTTGTTGTTGTTGTTGTTGTTATTATTATTAATACAGAAATGAATTAAGATAACTATTAATATATTTTATGTGCATCCTAACTCTCGACATTGATTTCATTCGTTTGACAGTCTGAGGTGACACACATTCAACGCTTTCACTCAAACATGTACTTCGCTAAACCTTCAGATCTTTCACCACCAGTGATGAGGCACATGATTAAAAACAAGCATGTACTTCTCATCTCAAACCTCATCTATCATTTCAATGTCCCCATAAGCCTGTTGCACACTTTTCCCTTTATTTTACCGCTCCTCCTCCTCAATCAAGCTGTGTGAACGTGCCCGCGAGGTATTCCCACCGTCACTCACAGCCTGGGAGAATGAAGTACACAAACATACACATGCACAACCCTACGGGCTTAACACGGCCGTGCTGGTTTCGATGAACAACTGATAGTGGCCTGGAGCAGCATAAAATGGACAGAGACTGAACATGCATACAGAGCTAGACGTGTCACTGTTATTGTTTTATAATAATGTCTTGCATTCGTCTATGGATTACGCAATCAATTGGGAAACCATCGAAACCTGTTGCCTGTGCACTGTAAATGACTTCAAGCTTAAAGGGATAGTTCTTACTTTGACATACTTTCTTCCATCAAACACTTAAAAAAAGACTTTTTAAGAATTGTACTGGTCAAACATAAAAAATGCAATCCCCTGCAACCGGATCATTGAGTTAGTGAGTCGAGAACGAGTCAGGTTTGTGAATGAATCCAGACCTGTTTTGTAAACTGCATCAACCGATTCACTGAAAAGATTCAGTTCACTCACAATTCCAGAAACTGCTACTTTTCATTTCACATGAATGCACCTAGGATGAATGTAATATAACACATGGGTAATATTAACTATTTTTAAGGTGCTTTTGCATCCTATTTGAAGCTTCAGTCTCCATTCACTGTAGTTGCAATACAAAAAAACGACCAGTGCAAATTCTCCAAATTTCTCCTTTTCTGTTTCCCTGAAGAAAGAGTCATAGACATTTGAAACGACTTCAAGTTTGAGTAAATAATGACAGAATTATAATTTTCAAGGAAACGTTTCTGGGGGGGAAGTGTGCAAAAACAGAAAGTCAGAGGGGACCATAGATGGTTTATTATCCTTAAGGATCTGTTTTGTATTGAGTAAATATTTGCATATACACTACAGTTCAAAAGTTTAGATTGTGAGATTTTTTTATGTTTTTGAAAGAAGCCTCTTATGTTCACCGAGGCTACATTTATTCAATCAAAAATACAGTAAAAGCTGTAATATTGTGAATCAGTATTACAATTTAAAATGACTTTTTTATTTTAATATATTTTGTAATTTTTGCAATGCAATTAAAGCTGAATTTTCAGCATCATTTCTCCAGGCTTCAGTGTCACATGATTGTTCAGAAATCCCTCTTTTGCTGCTCAAGAAACATTTATTATTATTATCAATGTTGAAAACAGTTGTGCAGCTAAATATTTTTATGGAAAACCCTTATACATTTTTTCCAGGATTTTTTGATGAATAGAAAGTTCAAAAGAACAGCATTTACTTAAAATATAAATTAAGGGAAAAAGTAAAAATCTTTACTGCCACTTGATGAATTTAAAGCATATATAAATTAATTTCTATTTAAAAAAAGTGTGTGTGTGTGTGTGTGTGTGTATATAAATCCTCCAAAATTGAGAGAAGAGAAAAAAACGAAAGTGAGGTTTCATGCAATGACAGTTTCTGAAAGCGTCAGTGAGCTCACAGAAACAACCTTTGACTGCTGATGAAATTAGAACAGGACTCGACAGGCCTACAGCCTGGGTGCCAAATGGCGACCGAAACCCACGACAACAGACGAAACCTGGCAGCACCGTGAGGATAGGGAGGAGGGAAGTTACGGGGAGGGCCAACAAACTGAAGGAGTAATGCAAAGTGCACAGTCAGTTACACACAGGCCCACACTTGTCCCAAACAGGGAGGGAGGGGGGGCAGCGGAGCATCTTTCAGCTGACATTCTCGTAATATCATTATGTTTTTATGGTGACTGAAAGGCTTACTGTTGAACCTGGGAGGGAAAAATGCTTTCTGTTGATGAAACTGTTTCGCTGAGCTGATTCACCACTAAATCACCACACAAACAGCACACGGCAGAATTTGAAGAAGAATTACAAAATACAGTTACGCAGCAAAGTTAAAAGTGTACAGCAACACACCTAACCATAAATCTGGGTAGTAATAATACTAGCAAGCACCACAATTAAAGCAAATAGGCAACTTCCTCATGGGAAAATACGTTGGCTACATAGGCATAATTTGCGGGTGGGACATGTCCCCACCACTTTTTGCCAGTGACCAGTGGGAAGAATGAGTCTGGAGCCCTGAATTGCCCAGCTCCCCCTGTCAATGATCTAGCACCCCCTCGGCACCTGCGTTCAAAATTCTCTGGCGCTGCCCCTGGTACATCGATGTATTTTTGAAAAGCCAAAATTAAGTTTGTCCAACTCTAAACCCAGTCCCCAAGTAAATTAGGTTATTAAATAAAAAACTAGCAAAACGAGTTGCGTGGTGTCCCCACCACTTTTCAAAGCAAAGTTACGCCACTGGTTGGCTATCTGAAAAAAGATCCATTAAATAATGCTCGCCGTCTTGTACCAGAGAGATCTGGACTCGATCCAAAAATCATAACATTTCATCTTAGTGATAAGAATACAATGGCTGGTGACAGTTAATGCTACAGTGAAAGATAAAAGAACGGGACCAACTAATTTTCATTCATCTATATACATCAACCACATCAAATCTATGCACACTTTATTATCTTTAAATCCATTCCGCAGATTTTCTCCCAAAATCAGCACAGAAAGTGTGAAATCGTATCAGTCACGTGTATCAAAGCAGTACTGGAACTTGTGTCATTGTTTATTGAACTTGTAGTTCATTTTAGAGCCTTGGCAGAAATAAAGACTGTCAATTAATATTTTGGGTTTCACGGTCACACAAAGCAATCATATGACTTGGTATAAAAAGCACACAAATCATATGGACTAGACAATTTTGCTTTTACTGTATTATTTTGTCCTTTTTTGAAGCTTAAAGTTGAAAAAGAGCTACGTGAAGATTCTTCAAATTTCTCCATTTCTGTTCCACAAAACAAAATATTTTGGGGTGAAATATATTTATTTAGGTTTATCATCTTTTTTCAGGTTCGGCAAAGCAGTATCTTCTCCTCCTTGTTCTCTGTGTACAGTTAATGTAATTCCATTTTTAATTTGTAATGTACTAACAGACGCATAGACCAAGAGACTATACTGTATATCCACAGCAGGGAGAGGTTCTGAGCTGTGAGAGGTGTATAAACTGGTTTTAAGGCGGTGAATAACTATAGCCAGGCGAACAGGTATGAGAAGGGGCTGTTGAGCGATTTTTTTGGACGTTTATAATACAAGCCTTAACTTCCCTCCTGGAAGTTCAATTCTCATAAAAAATTCTCCATAGATGTTCACAAAGTAAAAAAAAAAAAGAAAGAAGAAGAGTCATTTCTTGAGATGGAATTATGTCAAACAGCAGTTTCCTTTAAATATAATTTGCTGTGACAGCAAAGGGGAATTTTCTTAAAATAATTACCAGGTAGTGTGGTGAAAACGGTCAATTCCTCTTACTACATACTGTGTGGCTTGCTGACTTAAAAACAAAGAGCTCTCAGTATGTGGGTTGCAGATTTGCTGCCAGCCTCACTAATCATTCTACAGCCTAACCTCATTACAAAAACAACAAAAAAAGTAATTTCATTGGAGAGAAAGTGTAACCGAAAGGTCACGCCAAACGCTTGTATAAAATAGTGGGCGTACAGGAGTCAGTTTCCATCAAGGGTTGGGGAAAAAAAAAAACTATTTTCATATATTCATAATTAAGATTCTAGACGTGAGCCATGCAATGGTCACACAGCAAATCTAATGAGTTGGGCTACTAAAAATAATGAATAACATAGTAAAGTTAACTATGTGAATTAAGAGCCAACAGTAATGTATTTAATAATTTAAAAAAGCGAACAGTTGGCAGCACAAATGGTATGGGACAAGCTATTTACCAAAGGTTGGTGCCTTAATTAGCAAATTTAATAAATGGCATAAATAACATGTATAATGTCTCAGTAAATCACAGTGGCTGAGGTGCAGGTGGTGGGTTCGTACCTGGCAATCTGGTTGACATAAGGCTTCAGTTCATTTGGCTCATAGGCACGGGCGAAAGCCCAGCACACGTAGCAGGCTGCATCACGTACGTTCGATCCCAAACTGCATGCGCCCCTTTTCTCATCATATGTCAGAGCTTTTATAATCAGAGGCACCACTGTAGAATGCAGACAAAATATTAGTATGCAAAACTAATTACTTTTGTAATCTCAAATATTTCAAAAGATTTATATATGCATTTGTTTGATCAAAAATACTGTTACAAACAGTAACATTGTCCAAAATTATAACAATTTATAATTGTTTTTATATATATATATATATA